AGTTCACCTAAATGATACTAAGTTAAATTTCATTTCATTTTTATTTTTTTCTCTTAACTGTATGTTTTAAATTTTATTCAGTTTTAAAGATCTCACCACTGTTACTTCTACCTACTGCACTGGCATTCCACAGTACATCACCATCATTTTTCTTACTCATTCTACCAGAAAAAGATACTTAGCGAGGCTGCCTTCAAATCCCCACCATCACAAACAATGCAGCTACAAAGACTACATAATACATTCAGGGACCTGTGTAAGAACTTCCACTGAGGGCTGGGTCAGAGGCATTAAGCATTCCTAATTTAATTCAACACTGACTGATTTACAGAATGGTACTAGTTTGTACTTCCACCATCAGTACCTAAGTCGTCTCCTCAACTCTCCAAACACTTCCGATTAGCACCCTTTTAGGTTTTTGTCATTCTGATGGCTATTAGGTTGTATCTCATGCTTTAATTTTGCAAGAGAGCTCGTATACCACCTCACTACCTGTCAGTGCTTGGGTGTCCCCTTCTTTACATTTTTTTATCTTTTACTTTATAAAAGGTTATTTGTTTTGTTTCCGTTAATTCACAGTTCTTTACACACTGTAGTATTATTCCCTTGTAGGTTTTAGATTTTCTAAAACCAACATTTGACTTTTAACTTTGTATATGGTTCCTTTAACAGAAATATTTAATGTAATCAAACACATTAATTTTCACACTATGTTCTGTGATCCCTAAGTCACAGATACTATCCAAATTATCTTATTAAAGTGGGTTACTAATGTTATATATCATGGTCAGGAATCTATGGCTCACAAGACAAATCCACATTTTTTTTTAAACAAAGTTTTACTGCAACATACCACCTCCATATTTATACAATGTCTACTGCTACTTTCAAGCTGTATCAGCAGTTATAGTTATAGCAGATATAGTTATATCAGAGACCCTATGGCCTATTAAGATAAAAATACTTATTATATGTTGTGATAGTTGCTCAGTCATGTCTCGACTCTTTACGACCCCAGGGACTGTAGCTTGCCAGGCTTCTCTGTCTATGGGGCTTCTTCAAGGCAGGCAAGAACACTGGAGTGGGTTGCCATGCCCTCCTCCAGGGGATCTTCCCAACCCATGGATCGAACCCAGGTCTTCCCGTATTGCAGGTGGGTTCTTTACCATCATAGCCAGCACAGAAGCCCACGAATGTTGGAGGGGGCAGCCTATGCCTTCTCCAGCGAAATTTTCCGACCCAGGAATAGAACCGGGGTCTTGGGCACTGCAGGTGGATTCTTTACCAGCTGAGCTAAAGAGTATTGAACTATGGGTATGGAAAACACCTGCTAATTAATTTTATATTATACAGTATTGTTGAATTCTCTTAGTTCTAGTCTCCTGTTTCTGGATTTTATGAAGACAATATTATTATGTGCAAATAGTGTATTTTATTTCTTTTTAAAATTTCTAATCTTATTTAGTTTGGATTAAAAAATTCTCAATTACATGTTTGCTACGGATTTTAGACTTATAGGCTTTATCAAGTTAGGACAGTTCCCTTTTATTCCTGTTTTTTTGAGAGTCTTTTCATATACTAGATGCTAATTAAAAAATTTATTTGTATTTTTAATACAATAATATTAAGTAATAATAAACTATCATTTGGCAATTTATGACATACTGCTATAATGTATTTCTCACATTTTATAGTGAACAAATACTTAAACTTTTCATGTTTTAATATTTGGGTTTCCTATAAAACTGGCTCATTCAGTAAAGAATGGGACTCAACTGTACTTCTGTGTGTATCTCAGGAATAGTACCTTCACTTACCAGTATTTACTGTATGTGTATAGTGTGTAAAGCATTATATAATAAACAATGTTTTCTCTTACAGAAGCAAGTAACTATAGCTGTTTAAATAAAACTGGTACTGTGCTAACAGATAGGAATGAAGATAATAAAAGAAAATATTAATATATAGTTTTACCTCTTAGGTGAGTATCAGTAATTTTAAGTTGAAAAGGTCTCTCAATCTTTGAAATTCATGGGACTTTTATATTAACCCACAAGCAATTCTGTAACTTCAAAAGTTATTTAAAGCTGTAACAAATATACAACTATCTAAAGATAAGCTAGGAAAAAAAAATAGTAGCTCTGATCTAAACACTAAATGTGAATATTCACAAATATTCCTAACTTCTAAAAACTAAACGCATCAAGAAGTCTACATGATTCTACCATGTGATCTTTTGCATAGATAAGCTAGGAAAAAAAAATAGTAGCTCTGATCTAAACACTAAATGTGAATATTCACAAATATTCCTAACTTCTAAAAACTAAACGCATCAAGAAGTCTACATGATTCTACCATGTGATCTTTTGCATCTTCCTAAAATAATTTCTACTCTTGTATTACATCCAACTAAGTGGAGTAAAAATAAAATGTAATTAATATACTTGGGCATATTCCCACAAAAAATTTAAATAAACTTCACAGAAGATAAAAAGGACAGAGAATAACTCACTAAAGGTATGTTTTAGTTCTGAAGGAAATTAAGTGGCAGGCTGTTCTCTTTTATTAGCTAGGTTAACAATGACTAAATTATTATAAATTTAAGAATCGTTATTTTAAGGATTTCAAAACACAAATTCACAATCTTTCATCAGAAAATCTGAAATTCCAAAAGCTTTGAAAACTTAAAAAATTCTCCATGATTCACTTAAGGGCAATCTAACCTAAACTGATATGAGCTATTTATACTCTTTATTTATCCTACTTAGTGTGAATACTTGATGAATACTAATGTGGTTAACTATGAGAGTCTCCCTGGACGTTACAGAAATAGTAAAATAGTTAAGTAGCACATGTGACACACATTACTTCTCAAAAGTCTACAAAGTCGAAATAATGAAATACAACTAGCCCTAAGTGTTTGTGATAATGAAATGTGGATCTGAAAATCCTAAAACCCGTAAAAGTACTTCTGCCATGCAGCATGCTACCTTTTCACTCTGTTGATTGTTTCTGTTACTGTGTGGAAACTTTAGTTTGATGTAGTCCCTTTTGTCTATTATTGTTTTTGTTGCTAGTGCTTTTGCTGTCATATTCAATATATCACTGCCGAGACCAACGTCATGCTTTATAGATTCAGGTCTTGTTTTTAAATCTTTAAACAACATATCTGATAAGAGGTTAATATCCAAAATATCAATATATAAGAAACTTATTACAATTCAACAGCAAAACCCTCAAATAACCAGATTAATAAATGGGCCTAGGGCTTGTTTGAACAGACATTTCTGCAAAGAAGGCATACAAACAGGTAATAAGAATGTTGAAAAGATGCTCAATATCAGAAAATCATTAGGAAATGCAAATCAGACCACAATGAGATACCACCTCACACCTGTTTGAATGTTTATTACCAAAAGAACAAAAGAAAACAAGAGCCAGCAAGGATGTGGGGAAACTGGAACCCTTGTGAACTGCTGCAGTGTAAAATCGTATAGGTACTACGAAAACAGTAAGCAGGTTCCTCAAAAAATTAGAACTAGAACTATCACATGATCCAGAAATCTCACTTCTGGGTACACATACAAAGGAAATGAAATCAGCATCTTGAAGAGGCATCTGCACTCCCAAGTTCACTGCACTATAATTTAAAATAGCCCAGATGATGAAAACAACCTGAATGTTTCTTGATGGGTAAATGGATAAAGAAAATATACAAGGGACTTTTTATTCAGCCTTGAAAAAGGAAAGAAATCATGCCATATTTGATAACATGGATGAATCTAAGGGACAGTATGCTTGGTGGTGGGTTAGTTGCTGCGTCGTCTCTGATTCTTTGTGGCACCATGGTCTGTAGCCTCACCAGGCCTTCTCTGTCCACGAGATTATCCAGGGAAGAATATTAGAGTGGGTTGCCATTTTCTTCTCTAGAGGATCTTCCCAACCCAGGAATCAAACCCATGCGTCCTGCACTGGCAGGCAGATGCTTTACCACTGAGCCACCAGGGAAGCCCGTGTTACTATTAAGCCCTGCAAAAAATGATCTTGTTCCTACAGACATCCAGCCCAATGGCTTTGTTAATAATGCAAAAATCAGAGGAATGGAAATTTTGCAAAGGATAATATAAGCAGGCTATACAATATAGAGATAACTATTTCACTTCATGAAAGCTATCAAAGGCTAGATTTTTTTGAGAAGCGATAAGCCCATATGACTGAGGATAGTATGTCTGGTAAAGTAAGACAATTCACAGAAAGACAATACTGTGTGATTTCACTTATATGAGGCTATGCAAACTAGTCAAACTCATAGAAACAGAGAGTAGAATGGTGATTCCCAGGGGCTGAAGAAGGGAGAAATGAGGAATTACTGTTCAACAGGAATAAAGATTGCTACACGATGAATACATTCTAGAGATCTTCTGTAGAACAATGTACCTACAGTTAACAATACTGCAAGTGCACACACTTAAAACTTTGTTAAGTGGGCAGACAGATATCAAGTTATGTTTTCTTACCATCATTAAAAATAATAGAAGATTTCTAATTTTTTCATTGCCCATTTACCATCAAAATACTTAAACTCCTCTGACTCTACTTAAATAAATACTAGATTTATTTAAATAAATAAAAAGTATTACTTTCATATCTGATTCATTTTGATAAAGAATATTCTTTTAACACACACTTTAAAAAAATCACAAAAAGCATGAAAAATATTAAACAAAATGTTTAAATAGTGATTTGATTGTATTAGTGCACCATTACATTTATAACATTTATACATTATTTTAAAAGAAATTAGTATTGGAAAGCTTTTAAATTACAGCATATTAATTTAAGTGCAAATTTAGACAACTCCTATACTGAGAATAAAATACTAAAATATTAAAAAGTTAAATATATTCGCAATACATAATTAGGTTCTTCTATCATTCTGTATTATCTGAAATCAAAGCTTCAAAATCATGTATTAAGCCACAAAAGGTGAGAGCACTTACTTAGGAGTAGACGGACCCCTTGGCCATGTTCCATCTTCATTTTTCTGTTCTATCACTAACACCTGCAAATAAGACAATAATAGAGTGTTTTTCCTTAACGCCGAAGTTAAAATAGCTTAAGAAGATTAGCTATATATGCTAAATAACTAAAGTAACTTTGCAATGACTTATAGGACACGATAGACAAGGTGAAGAGGTATTTGCATTTTGATTTCAAAGCGGGTCAAGGGAGATAAAGAGACCTTGAATACAAGATGTCGGCAATAACAGAAAGAAAGAAGGTAACAAACTACAAGGAAAATCATTGGTTTTATGACTTAAAGCATTAAAAAAGTTTAAACCAAGTAGTTAGAAGTTCTTTGAATTTGGGGAGTATGTTTTCTATTTGTTGCTTGTAAAAGTACTGTGCAAAAAACAGATGCTCAATAAATGGTTATAGTTGTTAAACATACTGATGTATGATCTCAGTCAACTATTGTTATGCAAATACTGAGTAAAAGAGACAAAGACAGTTCCAAATTACAGATTATATATGACTTGTCTGGGGCTTTGATCTGAGAGAATAGCACTGGAACATGTATATAGCAATATGTGAAACAGATCGCCAGCCCAGGTTGGATGCATGAGACAGGCGCTCAGGGCTGGTGCACTGGGATGACCCTGAGGGAGGGGATGGGGAGGGAGGAGGGAGGGGCTTCAGGATGGGGACACACGTATGCCTGTGGCTGAGTCATGTCAGTGTACGGCAAGAATCACTACACTACTGTAAAATAATTAGCCTCCAACTAAAATAAATAAATTTTTTTAAAAAAAGAAAGAAATTTGTCCTTATTTACATTATTGTTGAATAAACTAGAAAATCTTTTAAGATATAAATGATAAAACCATGTATGAGAATCAGACTGCAGTTCTCTATTACAGCACAGTCAGGGTAGACACAAATCACCTCTAACAAATGAAAGGTACAGGCTGAGGTGGACTATATCTTAAAGTAAAATCCCAGAATCTTTTTTCATTATCTTCCAATCTAAAAAAGAAGGCTCTCTTCTAGTTTTTAGTACGGGTGAGTCTGTGCAAAGAAGAAAAACCAAAATAATTAACAAAAGAAATAAGTGATCTCGACAAGTTAGTATCTAAATTTCCACAGGAAAACTATAATATAGAAAACACGCCTGGAAGCAAATTCAAGGCATTAAGAATTTGCATATATTCTACACTACATATTCATTTTTACTAACTCTTTTCTTAAAGTTGCAATTTTGTTACCTGTTCTATATATTCTTAGTAATATACTTCTTTATTGATAAAATAATTTTTTAAAAAAATTTTATTTGGGGGATAATTGCTTTACCAATGCTGTGCTGGTTTCTGCAGTATAACAACATGAATCAGAAGGGGATGTATGTATACTTAGTAATATATTTTTGTGGACTATATGTTTCAGGCCATTTCTAAGTTGGCATTTGGATCTTAACCATGTAAAAATGTGAGCATGATTCAGAACACATATACAAATGAAATATTGATTTAAAAAATTCATGGAACCATGTTGATAAAATATGCTAAATAAAACACTAATGTTATCTTTGTGTGTGGTGTGTTAGTTGCTCAGTTGTGTCCGACCCTTTGTGACCAATGAACTGTATCCCACTAGGCTCCTCTGTCCATGGGATTTTCCAGGCAAAAATACTGGAGTGGGTTTCCACTTCCTCCTCCAGGGGATCTTCCCAACCCAGAGATCGAACTCGCATTTCCTGTGTCTCCTGCATTGCAAGCAGATTCTTTACCCACTGAGCTATTAGGGAAGCCAAAGTTACCTTTAAAAAAGTTATCTGTAAAAAACTTAATTATTTCTTACAAACAAAAAGCACATGTGAGGAACTTCCCTCATGGTCCAGTGCTTAAGACTCCATGCCCTTGGTGCAGGGAGCACATATTCGATCCCTGGGTGGGGAACTAAGATCTTGCAAGCCATACAGCTTGACCAGAAAACAAAAAACAAACTCCCAAAACACACATGAAATATAGTTAATATATTAAGAATAGTGCACTGTATATCTGCCATCCTGACACCTCCCTGATCATATTCCTCTCCCTACCTACCACTGGCAATTAACCATTATGATCAATTTCTGGTCTAAGATGATATAGTAATGTATTTACATAGTTTTACATGTTTATAAAACTGAGTTTGCTGAGTAATTTTTAACTTCTGAAGAAAGGATTTCCTGTGCTACAACTTTTAACTGTATAGACATCTAAGCAAAAACTGTACTTTACTAAAAAACATATACACATAAACTTTGTCTCTAGCAACACTTAAATCAGCTATAAAGCAAAAGAGTTTAGCTATAGAAAATGTCAAAGGTATTCATTTAATATCTTTGCTTATGGTTTGTTTTTTAAAGGAAGATCCTAAAGCTGAAGAATCAAAAGAATATTTAAAGCTTAATTGTAACCTTTAATCCCAAGCAGTATTTGTATTTTAAATCCCTTTTGTCTTTACATTTAACATTGAATGCCATCAGAAATGCCAAAACTCATTTCTTTATTCAAATGTATCATTTTCTGAATAAAGTTCATGGTTAAAACCTTAACTCAAAATGAAAATATTTTTAAAAGATTTTAAGATTTAATTAAACTGAACATACACATACTAGAAAGAGAGGTAAAGACCACCTATTTTGAGAGGCAAACTCTTCAATAATGTATCTTTGTTTCACTTTCTAATGAGGATACTTTCTATTTCAGTAAAAAAAATTCTTTTAAGTCTAAGATAGTGTTCAGTTCATTCATCACCATTCAGAAAATAACTGGTACAAAATCTAGAAAATTTCATGCATTTTCTCTGAACCATTTCTATTTCAAAAGATCAAATGTCTCTAAAGATATTCTATAAGAATGTTTAATAAGATATTTAGTCTTCTTATTAAAATAATTCAGTCATCTTCATTCTGATAAATGCATTCCTATCAAGAATATCAAATTACTTAAATTCTCTAAGCCCCAGTCTAATATACATGACAAGGAGAATTATAGCCATTACACAGAATCAATTACTGAAAAGATTTAAAGAAATAATCCTACATATTTTAAACTGTACTCCCTGGAGCTACCCAATGGCTTGATGGATGGTAACCTCTTTCTACTGGAAGAGAGAAAGAGGAGTTGGATGGCTAAGGAAGGGAGTGCTGCCTAGTAGTTCCAAATGTCTCAATTAGCTTCAACTGGATAACTCCTTTTAATTGGAATACATATTTTGTAAGATTTTACTTAAGAATATAATGGCTAAAGTAAGTGTGAAAATCACTGTTTTACAGCTCAGGACAATATTTGATTATAGTAGGAACAATTTCCATCACATATCAATATCAATTTTAAATTAACACAGAACAAAGCAAAAGCTTCCCATATATTGGAGCAGTAGGCTCTGTGTTAGGTACTAAAATATAGGTCCTATTTAGGACACAAAATCCAACCAAAACAAGGACTTCATTGTTTAGCCAGGGAGCTAGCTGGATAAGTATATACTTCAGTTACCTATATAAGTAACTGAAGTACACAGTGAAGGATACAAGGTTCCCCGCTGGCTCAGACAGTAAGAATCCGCCTGCAGTGTGAGAGACCTGGGGTCCATCCCTGGGTCGGGAAGGTCCCCTGGAGGAGGGAACGGCAACCCAGTCCAGTATGCTTGCCTGGAGAATCCTCATGGACAGAGGAGCCTGGAAGGCTACAGTCCATGGGGTCTTTAAGAGTCAGACATGACAATCAACTAAGCACAGCAAAGTATACAATGAATGATACAAGACATACACATAAATCATTATGGAAGTTAAGGGATAAAGTTTTTCTCCAAAGTAAAAAAAAAATCCCATGCCTCAGTTAGATACTGAAATAAACAGATCATGAAAGGCTGAAGAAATGACCTGACATTGGAATGGGAAGGATGGATAATCTGATCTGGTTAGATTACATGATAGGATGGGAAGCTTCATTTCAATATTTGGATGTTTAAAAAGAATTTTCTTCTGGATGAATACAGGGACTGGGGACAAGGGTACAATGGGCAGATGAAACAACACATGTCAAAGAACAAGAGACTGGAACACCACAGTAGGCTTAAGGGCTATAAGTAGTTCAGTTAGGTTTTGTTAGGAATGCAAATCAAAAGGCAAGATTAATCAAAAGACGCTAGAAGAATAAGGTAAAAGGTAAACTGTGACTTGCATGCTATGTTAAGGTGCTGGGACTTTTTCTACAATTGTTAAGGAGCCAGGAAAGATTAGTGGAAAGGAAATAATGTTTACATTTTAGAAAGGGTATTCTGGCAGAAATATGGAAGATTGAGAGTGGACATAAACAGACTGGAAGCAGAGGGGTTTGTTAAAACATTACTGAAAGGGCTGGGAATGGAATAGAGATTAATTAGAGAGCTGGAAGGAAGAATCAGTAAGACTTGCTGATTGTGTTTAGAAATCTTAATTTCTCAACACATTCATTTGTTGGATTACATCATAAAGAAAGTCTCTCATTTGTTTGGATTATATCATAAGGAAAGACCAAACTGGGGGCTGACCCCTTCTAACAGGGATTGCAAACTACAATTCACTTAGCTCACTGACTGCTTTTGAGAATAAAGACTATTAGAACACAGCCATATCCATTTTCCACTACTGTTAACCATTACTTTCTTGCTACTACAATGGCAAAGTTGTGGTCATGACAGAGATCATACAGACCGCTGAAACAAAAATATTTATTACTTCATCTTTTACAAAAAGTATGCTGATCCCTTATTATGTTAGTTATTTGTCCATGGAAAATAATTTATTTTTAAAAAGCAGGTTATTCTCAAGCTCAAGGAGAGAAGAGGTTATAATTAGTATATAATTAGTGACCAGCAGGGACAGAGAACAGTTGAGTTAGAAAGAGGAACTCAGAGATAGCAGAACCCATTGTAGATTGTCAGGATAGCCATAAAATTTATGAGTCTCCAAAGCTACATGTATAGTATGCATAAAATAAACAGTATTGCTAAACAATACCTGTCCTTGGTATAAACCAGCATCCTGAATGGTGCTGTCTGGTTTATTCAGTGGTTCAAATGTATTACTCATGTATTTGTTCCACAATCTGGTCTCCTTTTCATCTGGAATATTGAAGATTTTTCTTATTTCCTTTTCAATTGTATCTAAATTTAAGGAGGAAAGATATGTAAATAAAATAAATATTTAATAATGTACACACAGAGATAAGTGCTCACTAGCATAAAAATCCTAAATTTAAAATACTGATAATAATAACAAGAGAAGATAAATAAATATGTAGGAAATATATAAAACAATCAAGTTTTTGAGACTGGGTATACTTTTCAGGAACAAAATGATAATTTTAACTCTGACAGATAATTACTTGGGGAAATTAATATCTCAAAGGTATGAGTTCAATCACATAATACTAAAATATAGTTTACATTATACAGGATGCACTTTAACTTCTTACATATTATAAAATTAATGTATTTTCTGATAATATGTTGGTGTTAGAAATTAAAGAATGATTCAGAGATGCCACAGGATGAAATTTTGTTACAACAAAACCAATTTAAGAATAATTTATATTAAGCTGAAGATAATTTACAGTTTAAATAGCTAACTGAAACTAAACAGAATATGGAGACACACAAAAAAGTGCCGTCTTTGAAGAGAGGTTGGTCAAAATCTCTTGATTCCAAGGTAAAACCATGTATCTTCCTTATTTCTAAACCAATTACCTGAGTGGGAGAAGTCTTTTTAAAAAACCTAGATCAGTTTATCTGCTGTAAAGTAAGATATAGGAGTCTCTACATGTTTGAGAGTTATTAAGTTTTGGTACCATATTTAGATGAATCTTTAAAGTATTTTTAAACCTTGTCAATAACTCACCTAACTTAGATTCAAGAAAATTACACTTAAAATATTTTATAACATATGAGGAAATATAAAATACTCCTAACTTTTAGAATACTTGACTAATTTTGGACAAAACATTATCTGTAAAATACTAACAATACATGTTCTCTTAAAAAATAAAACCCACACCTATCCTACATAATCAAACTTAGTTAACAGCACTGTTTATGTTCTACTTAGCTTAATGCTCTCTAACAGTCTTACAGTGAAAGACAGTTTAATTAAGGCATTAATCACACAGTATACATTACAGTGTACTTCAAAACTTAGAGCAAACTAGCCAGAAGATTTTTAAAATTACATCGAATAACTATAAGTGTACTGTTATTACTGCTTTCTATTTTGGCAGTTCTGATTTTTTAATTGAAGTGTAAATGCATACAGAAAAATGCACAAATCATCAGTATATAATGATGAACTTCCAAAGTGGATACACCCATGTAAGTAGTACAAAAAACAGAAAATCACCTAGGAGGGAGGCTCCTGGAAGAAGTCAAGGAAGGGAGGTCATTTTAGTCTTTCTATAAAAATGAATACTTATTTCCTGATTGAAGAAATAAATCTTGCTCATTGCAAAAATACATAAAATACAAATAAAATGTCCACCTAGAGATAACCATTGTTACCATTTTGATATTTTTTCTTCTAGGCATTTTTCCTATTAATACATACACATTTATATGCATAATATATACAAGTAATATGGAAATGTCCGCTTTGATTTTGAGAAGGGTAACGCAAAGGCCCTGAGATGGGGATGTATTTGGCATGTTTTAGAACACTAAGGTGCATCAATGTAGCTGAAGTGGAATTTTGTTGTTCAGCTGCTAAGTTGTGTCTGACTCTTTGTGACTCCATGGACTGTAGCCCACCAGGCTCCACTGTCTATGGGATTTCCCAGGAGAGAATACTGGAGTGGACTGCCACTTCCTTCTCCAGGGAATCTTCCCCACCCAGTGATCGAACACAGATCTCCTGCACTGGTAGGCAGCTTCTTTACCACTGAACCACGAGGGCAGCCTCAAGTGGAATGAGCAAGGTGAAAATGAGACTGCCAAGGCACTGACTGCAGGATCACACAGCATCTAGGCAGGTATGAAGGCACTCTACTTTATCTGGCTGAGAAGAGAAGTCACTGAGACGCTGTGGGTAGAGAAGTGGCGTGAGCCAGTTGACAGTTTAAGTGCTCACTTTTGCTGCTAGTAAAAAACTAAAGAATGTCAAGGATGGGGGCGGGGGGGGACTAGGCTACTACAGAAATTCAAACAAGGTGGTAACAGCGGAAGCAACATTAAGCCATCAGACTGAGAACAGATTCTAAGGAATGCTTAGAAGTTATGTTGCTAGATTATGCAGGTGAGAAATGCAAGGGAATCAGAATGATACCAAGGGTTTTAGCTTAAGCAATCAGAAGAGTGCAAGTGATGATTACTCAGACAGGGAAAAATAACAGAGTAGTAGGTTTTAGGGGGAAGAGGAAAGGTTAGTTTCAGACATGTTATCCTTAGATTTTCATCAGATACAGATGAAGATATGGAATGGCTGAAACTGGAATTAAGGGAGAATTTGTGTAGGAGATATAAGATATCAATATATAGAAAGGATTAAAAGTCAGGGTAAAACATTAAGGAAAAGAAAGAAGATCCAAGGACTAAGCATATCACACTGATGTTTTGAGGTCAGAAATATGAAGAGCATCTTACAAATGACTTTGAGAAGCTGTAGCCAGTGAGAACTTGTGCACTGACAGCCATGTGAAGAGAAAATACTTCTAGATGGAAAAGTAACTAAGTATGTAAATTTTTGCTGGCAAGCTAAGATATGCAGAGTACATCATGCACAATGCTGGACTGGGTGAAGCACAAGCTGAAATCAAGATTGCTGGGAGAAATATCAATAACCTCAGATATGCAGATGATACCATCCCTATGGCAGAGAGTGAAGAACTAAAGAGCCTCTTGATGAAAGTGCAAGAGGAGAGTGAAAAAGTTGGCTTAAAACTCAACATTCAGAAAACTGAAATCATGGCATCCGGTCCCATCACTTCATGGCAAATAGATGGGGAAACAATGGAAACAGTGAAAGACTTTATTTTCTTGGGCTCCAAAATCACTGTAGATGGTGACTGCAGCCATGAAATCAAAAGATGCTTGCTCCCTGGAAGAAAAGTTATGACCAACCTAGATGGCATATTAAAAAGCAGAGACATTACTTTGCCAAAAAAGGTCTGTCTAGTCAAAGCTATGGTTTTTCCAGTAGTCATGTATGGATGTGAGAGTTGGACTCTAAAGAGAGCTGAGCACTGAAGAAATGATGCCTCTGAACTGTGGTGTTGGAGAAGACTCTTGAGAGTCCTGAGGACTGCAAGGAGATCCAACCAGTCCATCCTAAAGGAGATCAGTCCTGAATATTCATTGGAAGGACTGATGCTGAAGCTGAAACTCCAATACTTTGGCCACCTGATGCGAAGAACTGACTCACTGGAAAAGACCCTGATGCTGGGAAAGATTGAAGGCAGGAGGAGAACGGGACATCAGGAAGAGATGGTTGGATGACATCATTGACTTGATGGACATGAGTTTGAGCAAGCTCCTGGAGTTGGTGAAGGACAAGAAAGCCTGGTGTGCTGCAGTCCATGGGGTCACAGAGAGTCAGACACGACTGAGCAACTGAACTGAACTAAGACAATGAAGACTTCAACCACTGGATTTATAAATGTAGAAGTAATTAGAGACCATCACAGAAGCAGAATCAAGGGAGTGACAGGTCTGATCTAGTGAGTTTGAGAGAGAATAGGAACAGAAGTGGGAGTCAGAAAGCAGTTTGCTTAAAATGATACATGGCAAGTGTGGTTGTAGATAATGTCAGCCTAGGGTATATTTATGGAACTTGTGATTGAGTCTGAGTGCAGATCAAGATCACCAGGGTGAGAATGTCAAGGTATTGAGAAGATGTTTATATTTCTATACATATTAATCTGACAATATTAGGTAGTTAATGAAAAGGATAAAGTATTAACATAAAAAACAAATAAAATTACTGTGACAAACATTTCTTTTTTAAATAAGTTAAGGAATTCTATTAATAAATTTATAAAAACAAATTTTAAAACAAATTATTTTTCAAATTTTATAATAAAAGTTATTTTCAGTGATACTGAGAATAAATAAAAACATTTTATCTTTCTTACTGAAACATCTTCAATATCTAAATGTATCAATTTAGGGAGAAAAATATTAAAAGGCAGAGTATTTTAGTCCTGAATATGGTAAATTACTTAGATCCTACCTATGGCTGTCATCATTTTTATTATAAATCAATGCAGGCATTATTAGCTGAAATGGAACATTTTATTAATTTGGTAAAAACCAAATTATATTATTTATAATATAATATATTTATAATATATTATAAATTATAATATAATATATAATATAATATAATAATATATTTATAATATATAATATAATATATTTATAATATATTATTTATATTTATATTTTTAAATTGTTTGTATAATTTGTATACTGTAGTCAATTCTAAAGGAAATCAGTCCTGAATAGTCATTGGAAGGACTGATGCTGAAGTTGAAGCTCCAATACTTTGGCCACCTGGTGTGAAGAACTGACTCACTGGGAAAGACCCTGATGCTGGGAAAAATGAGGCAGGAGAAGAGGACGACAGAGGATGAGATAGTTGGATGGCATCACCGACTCAATGGCCATGGGTTTGAGCAACCTCCAGGAGTTGTTGATGGACAGGGAAGCCTGGCGTGCTGCAGTCCATGGGGTTGCAAAGAGTAGGACACGACTAAGTGACTGAACTGAGCTGATACTACATTTCATACACATAGCTATTTTGATCCTTTTTAGACAAGACTGAGAAAAAACATTCAGGGAAAAAAATATCCATCTCATATTTCCTTTCTTATCAAATTCTTTATTGTTTCAAAACTCACTTGCTCTAGAAAAACAAAATCAATCCAATTAACACTTGTACAGATTGTGTAAAGCAGGAAATTAAGAGGTGAGACTCTGATATAAAAGGTCTAGTTAAGGAGTCAAAATACTGGCTCTATCACCTGGTACCAGGGTGAATCTTAGTAGACTACCAAATTTTTCTAAGCCTAGGTGTCATCACCTTTAAGATGAGGGTACAGTAATGCTGAGGTTTAAATAAGAAATTTCCTATAAAGTGTCTAAAACATAGTAAGTACTCAGTAATTGCTAACTACTATAACTATAACCATGAAGTCTAAAATTCCTTACTTAATTTTAATTTCTGCAAAACTTTTCGCTTAGAAAGCAAACATGTTCTAATACAGATAACAAAGACAGAAATATAGATCAATGGGACAGAATAGAAAGCCCAGAGATAAATCCACGAACCCATGGACACCTTATCTTTGACAAAGGAGGCAAGGATATACAATGGGAAAAAGACACCTCTTTAACAAGTGGTGCTGGGAAAACTGGTCAACCACTTGTAAAAGAATGAAACTAGAACACTTTCTAACACCATACACAAAAATAAACTCAAAATGGATTAAAGATCTAAATGTAAGATCAGAAACTATAAAACTCCTAGAGGAGAACATAGGCAAAACACTCTCCGACATAAATCACAGCAGGATTCTCTATGACCCACCTCCCAGAATATTGGAAATAAAAGCAAAAATAAACAAATGGGACCTAATAAAACTTAAAAAGCTTCTGCACAACAAAGGAAACTATAAGTAAGGTGAAAAGACAGCCCTCAGACTGGGAGAAAATAATAGCAAATGAAGCAACAGACAAAGGATTAATTAATCTCAAAAATATACAAGCAACTCCTGCAGCTCAATTCCAGAAAAATAAATGACCCAATCAAAAAATGGGCCAAAGAACTAAACAGACATTTCTCCAGAGAAGACATACAGATGGCTAACAAACACATGAAAAGATGCTCAACATCACTCATTATCAGAGAAATGCAAATCAAAACCACAATGAGGTACCATTACATGCCAGTCAGGATGGCTGCTGGCTGCTATCCAAAAGTCTACAAGCAATAAATGCTGGAGAGGGTGTGGAGAAAAGGGAACCCTCTTACACTGTTGGTGGGAATGCAAACTAGTACAGCCACTATGGAGAACAGATCTTCAAATTTTTAAAACTAGGACCTATGGTAAGGAACTGTGACCCAGTTTACACATATATGTAGATATTTTGTATTCTGGTATTTTCCATTCCCTTTACCCCCTAGTGTTTAATGACCACAAAAGTACAGATAACAGAGTTTAAAAAAAAAAAATCAATCCTGTATATTATCTAGGGTGAAACAGATCACCAGCCCAGGTGGGATGCATGAGACAAGTGCTCGGGCCTGGTGCACTGGGAAGACCCAGAGGGATCGGGTAGAGAGAGAGGTGGGAGGGGGGATCGGGATGGGGAATACATGTGAATCCATGGCTGATTCATGTCAATGTATGACAAAAACCACTACAATATTGTAAAGTAATTAGCCTCCAACTAATAAAAATAAATGAAAAAAAAAATCAATCCAATACAGTAAGAAGTGTCAGCTATACAAAAAAATTTACTCATATACAATTTTAAGGCATATATCCAAAATATGTAGCATTTTAAAGTATTAGTGAATTTAAACTATGCAAATTAAAATATATTAAATCATAAACTTTTTGAAGCAGAGATTCTTTACAAATTATCTCCTTGATAATCCTTGGTGGTGGTGGTGGTTTAGTTGCTAAGTTGTGCCTGACTCTTGTGACCCCATGGACTGTAGCTAGGTTTCTCTGTCCATAGGATTATCCAGGCAAGAATACTGGAGTGGGTTGCCTTACCTAGTACCTAATGTAAAGACTCTGAAATACTTGTTTTGAGTCCAGAAGTTAAAACTTAAATCTTCATATAATGAGTTTTAAAACATTTTTTCAGTAAACTGATGTTCTAAAATCAAGACTTTTTATTGCCTCATATAATTTACATGTTATTTTCCTACAGAGATGAGGTAAGGAACAAAGAAAAGAAAAACAAAAGAAACTTTAAAATAACTAGAAAACATTATTTACATCATGCATTTAAGAAGTAGTTTATTTATATTCTAATTGGCTTAAAATTTCAGAAATCAAGTCTCTGAATTAATTTTAATAGATAATCTTTGCTGGACACAGATTCTTACTGTGCACATTTTGGTATCATCTAGAAAACATTATTTACATCATGCATTTAAGAGGTAGTTTATTTATATTCTAATTGGCCTAAAATTTCAGAAATTAAGTCTCTGAATTAATTTTAATAGATAATCTTTGTTGGACACAGATTCTTACTGTGCACATTTTGGTATCATGATTAATGTAATTTCATAAATTATATTTAAAACTTTCAGTTTTCAGGATGTATAAATATTTTACTTTCCTGAATGTTCCAAAAATCAAGAAGTGCAAAAGTTAAGTACTTTATCCACCATAATGTAATAATAAAGACATTTACATGGAGTTTCTAATATTTTAAGCATTCTTTTAGAAAAATGACTGTATGAGTTTACTGAAATTGCATCTCAACTTATAAATGTTTTAGCTAAATAAAGAGAGGGAGAATAAAAAATTCATAAACAATATATGGCAGAAACATTAGGATTAACCAAGCATTAGGTACTGAAGAATGGTACTACTTCATGAAAACTATGGGTTAAAAGTATTTTCTTGCAGTGAAATGGCTAAGTGGTGAAAGTCAAATGTACTTATGAAATTCAGAAATATTTTATTTAAAATAAAGTGTATCTAATGACTAACTTCAACAAGGAAAGCTATATAGGTGTAATTCATAAATTTGCTAATCTCGCTTTCTTGCTGAGTTCTACATTAAGTGTTATGTCCTTCTCCAGTGTCCATTTACATTTTCCAACAAGATCAATGTTATTACCATTAATGTTCTTTTCCAAGAACTTTATTTGAAAATAACTACTATTTATAATTCTTATTTTCAGTTGTGTCATTAAATAGTACTGCAATTGTTAGTAAATGCATAACCATGTATTTAAAAAGCATTTTATTCAATATATTCCTTTTTAAAATTGAAGTATAATTGACATGCAGTATTACATTAGTATTAGGTGTGTGACATAATGGTTTAAAATTTATATACATCATTAAATGATCACCAATAATTTATCAATTGGTGATCCATCAATCAGTAGACAGAGTTAAAAAACTTTTTTCCCTTGTGACAAAAACTTTAAAAATTTACTTTCTTAGCAACTTTCAAATTTGCAATATAATATTACTGATTACAGTCACCATGCTGTACATGAAATCCTCATGATTTATTTTATAACCAGAAGTTTATACCTCCTAATCTCTTTTACTCATTTCACTCAACCCCCAAGCTCCACTCATCTGGCAGCCAATCTGTTCTTTGAATCTATGAGCTTTGTTTTGTTTATTCAATACATCCTTGATCTAAAATTAAAATGTAGCTTTTAAGCAGAATTTTAAAAATTTACATGTATTTTAACATATATCTATTTGTGTAGATATGTAAATATATGAGCTTCCCTGGTGGCTCAGATGGTAGATATATAAACATATGTAGATATATAAATATATAGACAGTTAGGCACACATATTTGATACTATAATTCTGTAACCTACTCATTATATAAAAAAAAAAATCAGTGAATCATAATAATGCTAAGCCCACTGCCTTACTAGCTATTTAATTGTATTTGGGTTCCCAAGAATGAGAGAAAAAACAAACAAGTCATTTTTCATGCTAAGAAGGGTAAATTATTATTAATAATTGCATTACCTGACAAAGTTTTACCTAAGCAAGTATTTAAAGTTCTATGTCAATTTATAATTCATGTTACAAACATGACATATATTTTCAAAGGCTAAATTGAAACTATAATTATTTGATTTTTTAAAAAGTAAAATGGGACAAATGTTAAACTCATCTAATAATGTAAAGTACATCTAGAAATGATAAACAATTCAACTTTAAGCTATGACATATTGTATCAAGCTTGGAAATCTGTAATATCTAAGGATAAACCTTTAAAATGGTTTTCCTCTTAGTAGCATATAGCAAATAGAATTTTAAATAAATTTCCAAGGACAATGGTTTAACAAAGAAACAGGATCTTGAGTTACCTATTGTGTCAGCTTTGCTAAATCTTCGTGTTACAACGTTGTTCATGTTTCCATTTTCACAGAGCTTCAATTCTGTGAGATAGACTTCTACTTTGCAGTGCTTTACAAACATACCCTGTTCAACTACCTAAAAAACAAAACAAACTAGTGTCAGCTGTAGCTTGATATATTTTACTGTTTTGAAAAACATATCTCTAAAAAGACTTCATAAAAAGCAGATCACCAGTGAAAAAACCGTAACTATTAAAACTCATCAATATAAAAAATACTGGATAGCTGAAAAAGAAAGGAACATTTTTGGAAATATTAGTATTTAACAGAATATGAACAATCATGATACAAATATTAACAGACAGTATAGTAAGGCATTCTACTACTCTATGGAAATACTTTGGTATACCATAACTAATGAATAAACTTAGTAGTTATGATGAGAAAGTGCATGCAAAGTGTAAATATGGTTCCGATGAAAGATACAGACATACTTTATCTTTTAGCACTTGATCTCAAGCAAGAAACCTTTAAAAACCTCTTTAAGTTTTATATAATTTCAGCTAGCAACAACTATAACAACACTCTGTACGTTAAAATAAATCTTTTAAAACCGTAACTCCAAATTACTGTTGCCAAAATATTCAGCTATGCCCTGTAATTGATATGTTAGTTTTCCATCCTAAGATGACTTTGTTTGACCTTTAAATGCACACTGAGTAGTTCCAGGCAACAAATGAAAGAAAAAAAAAAGCTGCTCAACATGCAAGCAATAAAGCAGAAAGAGAAAAAAATGTATATATTAGGGTCACCTTTATAGTTAAGTATATTTCCTTTTGATCTTCTAAAGGTTAACTGTAGGATTTCAGTCATGAACACTGTTTCTGAAAATAGTAATCAGCCTGATACGTGATACATTAGACAAATATGGCAAAAGGGAGGCTCCAAATGACTGTTGTACTCACTTGCTTAGCATCAATTCAGTAAGGGACTCAAAATTTGTCTTTCACTTGCAGGAAAGTTGTTTCAGCTCAAAAAGTTCAAAGGTAGTTTGCTAGTATTTAAAATGTCCAATTCAATGCTAATTTTTATGATACTTTATCATATATATTCTCCTAATCATACTGGTTACATTCACATTTCTAAAGTAATAGTGTTCGATTCTGTAATGAACACATTATATAAACTAGTATATTACTGTCTAAATCAGAACTAATTAAATTTGTTTTATGTCATATTTGAAGTTAAGAATGAAGCAAAGGATATTACATCATTTATAAGATTAATGGAGCTATAAAGATAGGAATCAAATATTCTTAACCATCAGAAATTTCTGCTCTGGGACTCAATATTCGAGTAAGAATCCTAAATTAAGTTAGTTACTAATCATCAGTAGGTTGCCAAACTGAGGTACTCACAGGCTTCATTTTATGTGCGGGGTGGGGGGGTAGGGAATTCTAACAGTAGAGCAGGTAATGGGATAAGTAAACAGGATAAAATTTAAAAAAAAAAAAAGAGAAAACCGCCCATTATGATTTACATTGAGGTATGTATTCTATAAGCAAGCAGTTTCGTTCTTTTTTTTTTAAATTGAGAATTAGTTTTCATAATACTAAAAGTTATTTTCCTGGAAAGAATCTGGTGATTTAACTGTCAGAAGCTCACTGTCAACAATAAAAAAACATTAATTCCCTTATTTCACTACTAAATATGACACAGACAACCAACAGGGATCTATGGTATAGCACAGGAAACTCGACTCAATATTCTGTGATAATCTACACGAGGAAAGAATCTAAGTAAGGATGAACATACACACATAGTTGTATAACTGACTCATACTACTATACACCCCAAACTAACACAACTCTGTAAATCAACTATACTCCAATAAACTAAAATTTTTACTAAGATTACCAAGAGTACTTAAAAAACCACTCTTCATTAGGATTCAGAATTCTTTCATTTTTTTCTTTTCTCCAACATCTTACAGTGCTAATTAGCACTACTCAGAATATTATAACTGTATTTAGAAGATATTTTACTGTTTCCAAAAGTAGTGTATTAAAAAGCAGTTTTTTAAGAAAGATATGAATTTGTCCTCCAACAAATTTCTTTTAACTGTAAATGATATTTTCATGTAATGAAAGGCAAAATAAACATTGAAAATGTGAAATATACATAGATTCTAATCCTTATGTATTTTTGTTTCACGTACAGAATTTTGTTTGTTAAGTACAAGGTCATGGTATGTTTTACTATATCCAGCCAGATGAACATCATTTAGTTGCTTGGTCGTGTCTGACTCTTTGCTACCCCATGAACTGTATAGCCCACCAGGCTCCTCTGTCCATGGGATTTTCCACAACAATTTTTATTTGAAAGAATCATACCACATGAATGATTAAAGACTAAATATAATAGCACTGCATCAGAGAAAATTAATTAGCATATTTATATATTAGTGTCATAATATGTACATTATTTGTTCATTTAGTAACTCCTTTCTTTATATTTGTGTATATAAAGCATTCTATCTTCATTAAAAATGTTTGTGCTGAAAATAATCTTTAAAATGATGGCTACTAAGACTGTAACAGGAAGAAACAGGCTTATAAAATACAGGATACAAAGTTATATTTATCTAGTTACTATAACCATTAAAGTATACATCTCAAATAGGACAGGAAGGTGAATATTCAGAAGTAACAGTTACGTTTCAGAATTAGAGATGACAGCTAAAGTGTTTTTTTCTAGGTGAATTATAATATTTTTCTACATTATAGATAAGGAGCAAGCACAAGATGAAATCTATGCTTGGATTCTATTAATTCATGGTCACAATGAAGGTCAAGTTTCTTTACTAAGTTAGTTAGGGAAATACAAGTTAAAGCTGAATTAAACATAATTTCCATTCGTTCATTTTGCTTTGAATACTAGTGGGCAATCTGACTAAAGTCATGAAATATACCTGATTAACCTAATGTAGTCCACTCTTTACAGTGGCTTATGAAAGAATTGACTTCAAGTGCCTACTTCTCCCCTCTTGGAAACAGGAAGTAATTTTTAAAGAAATCTGTTACTTCAAAATAATTTGATAACACTGGGCCTAATGGACACATTTACTATTTTTGAGGAGTTATACTCATTTTAGCAACATTTACTAAGCACCTGTGCTCAGTGTTAGAAATACACAGTGAATCAGACCAGTCCTTGAAATCAGGGTAAGAACACCTAGTGGTAAAAAGACAGGCAGACTAGTAGAGAAGGATAATACAAATATGAATCACAGGTGTTAATGCATAACACAAATCTTTCTTGTGATATTCTATACAAACATTTCAGGATACTTTAAAAACAAGAACACAAACACAGCCATAACAATATTATCACACCTAAAGTATTAAAATGGATACCTTAATATCAAATATCCATTAAATTAAAACCAGTTAAAATAAAGATGATTTTTAATATCAATACAAATAAAGCCCATACACTGCAATTGAGAAGTCTCAAGTGTCTTTTAGCCAAAAAATTCACCATCTATCTTTTTATTCTTGCAATTTTTAGTAAGACTACTTCATAGATTGCGAGTTATAGTCTAACAAGATGCAGATAATATCTAGTTGCCCCTCTAGTTTTTATGATGTTGGTGGCTCAGACGGCAAAGAATCTGCCTGCAATGTGGGAGACCTGTGTTCAATCCGTGGGTCAGGAAGATCCCCTGGAGAAGGAAATGGCAACCCACTCCAGTATTCTTGCCTGGAGAATGCCATGGACAGAGGAGCCTGGCGGGCTACAGTCCATGAGGTCACAGACAGTCGGACACGACTGAGTGACTAAGCAGCAACAGCAGACATTAATTAACCAGTACCAGATGAGAGGTGGGGCCTCCCCGGTGACTCAGTGGTGAAGAACTCATCTGCCAATGGAGGAGACAAGGGTTCAATCCTTGGGTCGGGGAGATCCCCTGAAGAAGAAAATAGCAACCCACTCCAGTCCTCTTTTCTGGGAAATCCCATGGACAGCAGAGACTGGAGGCCACAGTCCATGGGGTTGCAGAAGAGCCAACAAAGCAACTAACCAGCAACAGATGAGGGGTGGGCTGACTATGATCCACAGGCTAAAAGGGACTCATCTTTTTTTTTTGTAAATAACACTTTACTGGAACACAATCATTCCCATTTGTTTACCTATCACCAATGGCTGTTTTTGCACCCAAAAAAGCAGAGATGAGTAGTTGCCAAAGTGAACATTTTGGCCCATAAAGCTGAAAAGATTTATTGTCTTTTACAGAATAAGTTTGGTGACCCTTTGACCATTAACTCATTAGGTCTTCTTCAATTTTGCTCAGTAGTGTTTGGTAATTTTCATTGTAGAAAAGCAGTTTTTGTAAGTTTTATTTCTTAGTACTTTCATCTCTTAGAAACATTATTTTAAAATTCAACTTTGTTGATTATATATAACTGGTTTTTTCTACTAATATATTTACCTTATATTCATCCCCCTTGTGAAACTTAATTATTAATTTTAATGATTTGGTACAGCTTTTGGAATTTTCAACATATACAATTATGTCTTCTAAAACATTACAATTTTACTTCTTGATTTTCAATCCTTATTCTTTTAGTTCTTTTTACCAACTGGTTTTAGTTCATTACCAACTGGTTAAGACCTCTAATATAGTTACCCTTGTCTTGTCCCTGATCTGAGTGGGACAGCTTTGAACACTTTACCAGTAAGTATTGTCTGCAATAGCTTTCTATTTCTAGTTTTTAAAAAAAATCATAACTTGATACTGAGTTTTATCAAATGCATGTTCTGCATCTACTGAGATGGTTTTTCTACTTTATTCAGATAGTACTAAAATTATAACAAGTGATTTTCAAAGTAAAATAAAATTTGTGTTTGAAAAAAATCTAGCCTGGCTATTTATTTTTAAACTTTTTATTTTGTATTGGAGTACAGCCGATTAACAATGTTGTGACAGTTTCAGGTGAACAGTGAAGGGACGCAGCTACACATATACATATATCCATTCTATCCCTGCAGCCTCGCCATTTTTAACTCCCTTTTTGCCCATTTCTGGCCTGGCTTGCTAATACTGTGTTATTAAATATCTGGTAGAATACTCAC